GTAGCAACAAAGTTCAGGTTTACAGTTAGACTAGTGTATTTACAGTCAGTTTCTTCACTCATGCAGTGTATTAAGTGACAGATGTGGTTTAGACAATGTCCACAGGATGTTTTCAGGTACTCTTCTGGGGTGAAACTAGTAGTTAACTGTCATCATAGGTAATATATTGCCTTGTAGTAGTTTGAATGCAGGTATAGAACAGCTTTATCATCTTCTAAAACGTGCAGTGGAAGCTGCTTCCACGGAAGGGATCTGCCTACACAGCAGATTAAGTTATAACTAAAACATCCCTGTTGAGAAATTGGATGTCTTATTTAATCCTTTCCAAATTAGTGTGAAATTGCACGATCAATCACAGCTGGTAAGAAAAATTCTCTTGCTTTCCAATGTCCTAACCACTCTGAACTGGAGTACCTGTAGGTTTTTCATTCTTTGTGGGGAATTAAATGTACATAGGAGAATACAATACTGTCACCAAAGCAGAGCTAAGCACTGGGGCCACCGCACATACTCTGTCCTCCTGTCATTACTCCAGTACATGAATAAATGGCACCCGTTTCCCCTCAATGCACTATGCAAATACTCTTGTACACTGCATCCTTGGAAGCATGGGCATAATCCCTTTCCCAGCCAGATCTTATTGTTCCACTTTGGGCCTGCTTTAAGTGACTGCAACAGTGTCTTGCGTAGGGCAACTGCTTTACCTGTGAGCAAATAGGGAACTAGGTGACTTCTGCAGTGCAGAAAGCCTCACAGCATGTCTTTAAGTGGTGGTGCACCTCGTTCAATAAGCTGTTTTCACTCTAGTAGCAATCTAGTTCTCATCTAACACGTTTATTTTATACACAATCAAAAAGCACATGAAGAAACTATACCAAAAAAAAGGTGCATCAAGAACTCTTACCTCAGATGCTTACTTAAAACACCCCAAAGTTAAAACCAACCTTGAATCTAAGGAAGTACAGCTGTTACTGGAAGTTAAGAACCAGTGTATCCCAAAACTTACAGAATGTGACACCGTTAGCAGTGGTTTGAGTTCCACAGTTACTTCAGTGGGGGTTGTCTTTGACTTGCAGTGCAGATTTGCTGTCCTCTGAAGTCTTTTTGTCTCAGTAGTTGTTAGAAAAATGCTGCTTTGCCATCAAGCTAGAAAGATGAGTTCAGGACCAGTATGTGATTTGTTTGGGGGGAATTGCAGGATTCTCCCTTATTTTCAAGTTGGGTTAACTCAGGCATATGACATGAACTTCTGGGACTCAAAATCCCACAGCCATGTGGTTCAGAATTAGGATTTTATTTCCTCCAGGTTCTGAGGCCTCTTGATCTGGCTCTAGGACACCACCATATCCTTGGTGAAATACACCTATAGATTCAAGGGAAATATTTCAGCGTGATTTTGGAGTCCTTTCTCCCACCTCATCGCTGTCATTGAGAGAGATGTATATGTTGCAGTAGAAGAAGATTCCTAGGGCTAGAGAAATAAATGAATTATTTTTCTTTATCATATTTTGTAGCTGGCAGAAGTAAAATATTGTATGGAAAAAATCTATTTTCATAATCACTGTGTATAAGATATATTTGAACTTTCACTGAAGCACTATGTTTTTAATAATCACAGCATGTGGCATCATTCATTCACAGATGAATTTAAGGTACCTCTTTTGCTATGACAAAGCTGTATGAGTAGCCCGAAGTGGCCTATTCAGAAATTGCAGGTTCCAGCATAATTTAAATTGCATTAATAAAAGTGTGAAATATAAAAGTGTCTTGGTTGTCTTAATTTAAAAAAACAATCTCAATCTTATCTGACTTCTGTGGGAAGGACAGCAAGTTAGAAAAGGCAAATTTTAACTTTGATAGCTTCTTGTATGCAAACTGTAAAGCGTTGTAGCTGTTGGTTTTGCCATTCCTGAGACCTTAACTGTCACCTTAGACTGGATTTGTATGTAACCAGTGCTTTCTCAAATAGACTACTTAGTGTAAACTAGGAATTACCCTCTCTTGACTACTTAATTTATGAGAAGGTTGAGTTTTAGATGTCTTCACTTCTGCACAGGCAATTTGCACTATGGCAGAAAGCAAAAGAATTTTTGCTTTCAAGCATAAAGCTTACCTGCTAGAAAAACAACTAAGTGTTCCTTCTGTTGTGGGATTGCTGCAATGTTTCTGATACCTTCAGTTTGAGAACTTCCATGTTTGTTTTTTTTTTTTGACTTGTCATTCATCTGCAATACTTTTCAGCTTTTCTTTGTCCCCACCCATCATATTTGCTTAATAAAATATCTGAAGTCAGAAGTCATTAACCACAATTTTCATAGGTATGTGCACTATTTAAAACACTTTCCACATTAGAGATTATCATCACACAGCACAAGCAGCTAAGGTGTGTCTTAGTAAGGAAGTGCCAAAGCACCTCTGGAAGAAAAAAACCTGACCTTGACTTTGCTCTGTGAAGTGCTCATGATTTCAGTCTGATAAACTCTGGCACAGCGGTGGTAATACAAACACAGCACACTGCAGCAGTGCTGTGCAGCACCAAAACTGGGAAAAAATCTAGTTCTTCCTTCAGTTTCTCACCTCCAGTACACATCCATGGGTTAGGAATGCTGCTGAAAAAGCCTCAGAGATTCATTAGGTTAGGATATGCCTTTCCAACTCTTCTGATAGAAGAGAGGTCTTGATTCTTGGAATGGGAATCCACAAACCCAGGTTTTCCTGACAAGTCCTAGGCTTCCATGTAGGTACTTCACAGCATTGGCAGGCACTAAGATTTCTCTCCCCAAAGCAGAAAAAAAACAGTGCACTTGAAGGTCTGGGCACTTTGGAAAAGTTTATGTCAACTATGCTCCAGGGTCTGAACACAAAAGAGAGGTCAAGTGCTGAACACCCAGCTTCACACTTGGATTTTTTTGAGAGCACAAAGCTGGGACCAGGCTGACGAGCCCGGAGTGAAGCTCTCGCAGACCTTGGATGGGACTCCATTCAGAGTCCACCTCTGCCAAAATCATAGTTTGTTGGTTTCCGTTACACGGGGCCGTAACAGTATTTGTGGGCAAACAAAACCAGCTGTCATCTTTCCTTGGCCTCCCAGCTCCTTTCTGTAACTCACAACTGTGGTCTGGAGCGTAAGAGAAGACGAGGAACAGCTCACAACCAGTGCAGCTACGTGCTCTTTCGGACGTGCTTTGGGGTCAGCTTTGTAGCAGCCCCCCCCACCCCTCTATTTAAATGTCATCCCTCAGGATGAAGATGATCTTCTATTTACCTTTAAATAACCTTAATTTTTGCTAGGCTCATCGGGGAAAAGGAGTCTTAAAACACTATTACAGGAAAATCTCTCTTCTGCAGCGATGTGCCTACGCTGAGGTCACTTCTCTCCCACTGAAACAAACTATTTTCACAGCTTGATCAGTTTATCAGCTGAAGTTAAATGTTGGCTCCTCTTGCCGTGAGTAGGAGGAGCATTAGAGCAGGAAGAATTACTCTTTGCTAGAGTTACTAAATCTTCCTTAAATTATTTACTTATTAAATTACTTTAATCCATTAATCTCAAAAAGATCATGGGAGCAGGAAGAAAGGATGTTTGAAGAACAATAAACATGGTACATTCAACTGCACATAAAACAGTGCATAGCAAAACAAAAGAGCTACCGGGTGGATAAAAAAAAATAAAATAATTCACTTTCTGCAGTCAAAATTACTGAATTTAACTCCTACATGCAAATAGCTATCAACTCCTTTATAAAACTGCAGTGCATAACTCTCAAGAATGAAGAACTCTCAAAGTACTTCAATGCACATTTACACACACACAGACATATACAAAAAAACCCCACAAAATAACTTGTGTCCGGGAGTCCTATGCATGAAAGAGACCCCATTGTGACAACTAAGAGGGTCCCTTCCCCAGCATATTTACAATTTAATATACTTGTCCATTTCATCACTTTAATACTACTTTGCCTTTTATAGAGCAAGGAAGATGAAGGCATTTTAAACATTAAGGAGCAGATTTTCAAAGGAAAAATGCAAATTGCACTTGTGCAATCCTAGGCTCTTGTTTCTGCACCAAAAGACTGTTGCCTTCATGCCTGACATACAGAGACTAAGCTGAATTCCTCATCCATTTCAACTCTCAACAAAGTCAAACTCACCCAAGAACTTTTACATAAAAATTAGAAGCCACTGAAGGAAAAGGTTGTGTATGTTCCACAGGGTGACAGCAGTCAGGTAGATTTGAATGTCAGATTTACAGCCTCTTAAAAGAAAGGCTGTTACTTTTATGGCTCTTAGAGAAAACAGCTGAATTTAATAGCTACACCCGGGGTGTTCCAATTATGTGCTTTACTTCTGCTGCATTAGAGCAATCTTAAGAACAAAATTGCAGCCTGGGAGAGAGAATTGGATAAAGTGACCTGCTGCGAACGGCTTGGTGTTGGGGTGGCTGTATATAAAAAGTGAGATGACGAGCGTACTTGCAGGACATTTTCAAACAGAGAAGAGCTGGAGTTGCTCTGCAACCTCTCTCAGCAAGCAGGTAATGTGCTTGAACAATATAACAGATTCCCTTTTTACTTATTCAGTGCTTACAGATGATCCTACGAGAAGAAACTTGCATTAGAAGAGACTGCAAAGAGCACTTTCTAAGGAGCTGGGACATTAGAACAGAAACTGCATAAACTGAACACATCTGTCAAATATCAACAGGGACTTTCATGGAACCTTTGAGGTTCAGAAATTCCTAATACTCTGAAAGGGTGTTCAAAAATCCTAATTCAGATCTTCAGCCAAATTTTTCAGATGTTAAGTCTCTTTATAATGAGCTAATCCGTGCTTTGAGAGGCTCAAAGCCCAGCTGGGCTCACACGTAGGCACAACGCCACTGGGGTGCAGAAGACCAGAACTGGAGATCCAGAAACGTAACATTTTCATAATCCTGTAAGATAAAAAGGGAGCTGTAATGTCATTATGATCAAAAAGATGTTTTGTTCTCTCACAGAATGGATAAGTCCTGGAAGATCTTTGTCAGTGTCCTCCTATTTGTCTTGTCTCTGGAAATCTGCTTGGCTCAACACTGGTCTTATGGCCTGCAACCAGGGGGAAAAAGGAACGCCGAAAACCTGGCAGAATCGTTTCAAGAGGTGAGTTCTGGACTGTAAAACCACCCTGCTGTTTCAGCTGGGACCCCTTATCTGTAAAAGATGCAAGCAAAAAAGAGAGGACATAGGCTTTACTGGTATGTGCACATACCTGTCTCTCTCCCTCCAAACATACAGACAGATGTATATACACACACACATCTTTAAATTAGTAACTGGAAAGTAACTGGCATGAGGGGAAGATATTTGCCAGCCCTGCATCAAGAGCAGCGCTGTCTACTGTAGGCTGAGAGCTTGGGCAGTCTGCTGGGAAGGAGAGATGGAAGTTTGTGCTCCAGGTTAAACCTGGTTTCATCCTGTCCCTAAATTTCAGCCCATACTCTGACTCCGATGGGCTGTTTTCTGACAACACTCACCCACTTCGCTGAGAATGCAGCCATGGGCTGCTGTGGTGTGGGAACCCATGAGCAATTAAATGACAAAGCAGACGTGGAAGGTTCTGCCCACCATCGGTTTCCCCATCCTTTCTAACACTCCTAACAGCAATTCTAACATCCTGATTTTGAGTTTTCTGTAGCACAAATACAGCACCTGGGAAAGAGGTGAATTTAAATTGTGCAGTGGAACAGTTTCATCTTCACCTGTAACGAGGGTAGAGTCGCTTGAGCAGAAAAATCTCCTTTCCTGAAGGCTGTTTCACTTCCCCATTCAGATTGCAAATGAAATGGAAAAATTAGGGGAAGTGCAGAAGAGAGGCTCGTACCAACGTTCCACGTTCAGTGATCTGAAGGAAGCCATGGTAAGTAACATGGGTTTTCTTTTATCACTATGGGAAAATTAGGGGACCAGTCCAGGCTGGGAAAGTACACAGAGGGAAGAAGAAAAAACGGTGGTGGAGGAGGAGGAGGCAGCAGCATGTAAATTTAGTTCACGTGGCAATACTGGCTCTGCCCTTATTACCTGTATCATTCTCAAGTACCTCAGAGCTACAGTCCTAGGACAGGACTACATTATTCTTGATGCTCCAGTCGTAGCAATGCCATTACTCCCTAAATTAAAAACAAAATAAAGTCAAATGCATTCTACCTTAATACAAATCTATGCAGCATTCATAGATGCTTAACTTCAAAGGTGCAGTTTGCCAGCTGAAGGATCAAGCCATATGGAAGCTGCTGCTCCCAAGGTCCCTAGACTGGGAAATGTCTTTTCCATTAGATGCCCTAACACAATGACAGCAGAGACTTCACATACACGCTAACTGCCACAGAAAGCACGCTCTCCAGCAAAAATGTGCTCTTTAATTAATATAGCAACACCTTGATCAGGCCAGATGGTCACCACTTCCTGGGAAGTGTCTCTGTGCTGTCCTAAAAGTTGGAACACTCAATCTCTGCTTCATTTTTGAAGCCAAGACCAAAAGCTTCAAGTATGTGTTCCAGCCTTTCACTGTGGAATCTGGCCTGCAGAAGGCTCAAAAACTCAGCAACAGTAATGCAGACAGGCAGAGTCTGACTTCCATTGGATTTTCGTACAGCAATTACCCAAACTCCCATTTTTTTCAGGTCATCTTTAATCATATTTGTACTAAACATAAAATGGGATCTTTGTCTGACTCTGGCTTCCAGTAATACTACTTGCAGTATGAAGAGCAAGCAACAGTAACTCAGTATATTTAGACTTTTATTTTTACTGCAAGAGTCTATGTTAGGCAGGAAAAAGATACCAGAACAATTACCAGGATATGTGGAAAGGAGTCCTTAATACTTCTTACTCACTTTGCAGAGCTGCAGGCACCCCCCAGTCAGAATCTTAGGTTTGCTAGTAATCTTGCACATCGGCATGGAAACTTCCAAGCACCTGCATCAAACAGTTTGCATGTCTTATTCTGTGCACAGCCTGAACGATGTGGCCTTCTTATTTCTAGCTTAAGCAGCTAAACGGCATTGAAATGCTAAATGGCATTGAAAACGAACAAAAATTTTTCCAGATGCAGCTTTTCCAATCTAACACATTCCTGGAGTTGCTACAGGAATATTACGCAATGAAAGGGGAGGTGTCTGGAAATGGTCCACCCCATGGAAAAACTTCTCAAATTATCTTCATCATTTCCTGGAGAAACTGGTAGTGAGCACAAACAAAAAATAGACCTAGCTAAGATACAAAAGGGAAAAAAATGCCATGTTCAGACAGCACATCTATCCAAAACACGTGAGGCTTTCAGCTCAGAGGTAACAACATAAATAAATATTCAAGTAGGAGACGATCCAGCAGGATGTGACACAGGAACGTGGTTTCCATTCGTACTAAGGTACACAGAGAATGGCAACAGGGCAACTGTGCCGCTCCGTGATGACCTGGTGATACTTTTGCAAGCACAGCTTTCTTGTCTCAGGTATCTCGGCCAACTGCTTGGAGCTCACAGAGACATTCTACATACTGATGCTTTGTGCAAGTTCATGCTTCTTGTCCTAAACTGCTGCCAAAGTGCAGTGTTCAACAGCTGTTGGGTTGCACTCCAAGAGCGGCTGCAGTGGTGGACCCATTAACAGATGTAAAGCTGGTCATGCACTTTGGGATGAAAAGGGCCATTATAAGTGCCAGTTACATGATCAGATCCATGGGCAGGTGGCAGAGAGATCACGTCGGGTCAGATTTATGTCATTCTAATCCTCCTTCCAATGGAGACCACAATATGAATATTTTAGCATCTGACCAGGCTTTAAAATTCCATCATCAAAGTCATTTCTTCTCTTTAAAAAAAAAAGTGTATGATGTGTGTTTACAGGAAAGTCTGATCGAAGGAGAAGCTGGACGAAAGAAGATTTAAACCCACAAAGCCAAACTACAACGGACTCAGAATAAAACTTCAAAGCTATGTTAAAATCAATTCCTCTTCAAATGGCCTCCGCTTAGATTGCATTGTGTGAATAAATACTCCGAAATTGCACTTAGAGAGTAGATGATTGTTGTGTAGATGACTAGCTTACATGTAAAAGAGAACACATCCTAGCCCAGTGGCAGGGGCTCAGCAGCAGAGGGTCTGCTTTGTGTCCTGCAATGAAAACTTGGACGTGACAGCTTTGGTTTCACACGTCCCGACGATGCCTGGACAAAAGCCCTGTCTGATCTCACTAGTGGCTGGATAAAGCAGTGATACAACTTTGTTAAAAATCAAGAATAAACTTACTGTTGGGATGTAATTCCACTTGCACTTCAGTAATCCATGTATGAAAGACTTTTATATGGTCTTATTTTACTGGTTCACTCAGAAAAACTACATTTATTTTAAAAAGGTATTTACAAACTTTACAATAGTTAATACATTTTTAAAAACATGAAAATTTATACACCTTGCTTTCATAAATCATTTACCCAGAAAGATGCAGACTCCCTTTCCAAAGCTTAGCTCCTACTCTTTCTTCAATTTAAAAGCTGTAATTTCTGCTGATTCAATTGCAGAAGACCAAAAGAAAGAGAGAGGAAAAAAAAGGTTTTGCAGTCCACAGAGGTGGGTTTTATAACTAAACCATCACATCCAGGATCTCAAAACACTCACAAAAACATGTCATCCATATTCAAGAAAAACGTGTCCCAGAGTTTATGTTGTCATTAAACCTTTATAATACCAACAATGAAAAGCTACATCATTAGTACCATGCATGTTGGGGCTGCATTTTAGAGCTGCTAAGGACTTACACCTCTGTTTAAAACCCACACAAACTGCAGACCATGCATGTGAAAAACAGGTTCCAGGTATGCAGTCATGCACTGGAGGGATGTCCATGGCAGCCTGAAGTCAGAACAGTCTGATTAACACCGCATGAACAGATGCTTTTCACCTTTTGTTAAGCTCCTCTCTACTCCTTGTGTACTCTATAGTGTCCACCACACCGTCCTGGAACAGAAGGATACAGGCTTTTTAGGAAGGACAGGCAGAGGAGACAAGGAAGAGTTGTTCTCTGTATCAACAACCTGCTGGAGTGCACGGAGCTTCTCCCCCTGGGGATGGATGAGGAGCTGACCGAGAGCTTCTGGGTCAGGAGTAAAGGGAGGGCAGGGACAGGTGACATTATAGCCCTGAGAGAGAAGTTTTTCTTGTTGCCTTTGATGTCACTGGCCAGATTTAATTCTGTCAGTGATAAAAGGAAGACAAAGGAAAATGTGGGCTGTTTCCAGAAGGAAACGGGAGACCTGGTTACCAGGGATATGGAGAAGGCTGAGGTACTCAGTGACTTTTTCTGCCTCAGTCTTCACTGACCAGAGCTCCAGCTGCACAGCCCAAGTCACAGAAGGCAAAGGCAGGGACTGGGAGAATGAAGAACTGCCCACGGTAGGAGAAGATCGGGTTCAAGACCATCCAAGGAACCCCAAGATGCATAAGTCCATGGGACTTGCTGAGATGCATCTACAGGTCCTGAGGCAACTGGTGGATGAAGATGCTAAGACACTATCCATCGTCTTTGAGCAGTCGTGGCAGTCCGGTGAGGTTCCCACTGACTGCAAATGGGGAAACATAACCCTCATTTTTAAAAAGGGAAAAAAGAAAGACCCAGGGAACTACTGGCCAGTCTCACTCCTCAAGATCATGGAGCAGGTCCCACTGGAAACAACGTTGAGGCACATGGAAAACAGAAGTGACTGGAGACAGCCAACATGGCTTCACCAAGGGTAAATCGTGCCTGACAAATTTGTTAGTGTTGGTGGCTAAGGAAAGAGCAACTGACATCATCTACCTGGACTTCTGCAAAGCATTAGACACTGTCCCACATGACATCCTTGTCTCTAAATTGGAAAGACATGGATTTGATAGATGGACCACTTGGTGGAGAAGGAATTGGCTGGATGGTTGCACTCAAAGAGTTGCGGTCAACGGCTCCATGTCCAAGTGGAGGCCAGTGACGAGTGGTGTTCCTCAGGGGTCAGTACTGGGGGTCTGGTGCTGTTTAATATCTTTGTGGGTGACATGGACAGTGGGATCGAGTGCACCCTCAGTGAGTTTGCTGATGACACCGGCTTTGTGGCGTGGTGGACATGCTGGAGGGAAGGGATGCCATCCAGAGGGACCTTGACAGGCAGGCCCATGTGAACCTCATGAAGTTCAACAAGGCCAAGTGCAAGGCCCTGCATGTGGGTCGGGGCAATCCCAAACACAAGTCCAGGCTGGGTGGAGAATGGATTGAGAGCAGCACGGAGGAGAAGGACTTGGGGGTGTTGGTTGATGAGAAGCTCACCATGGCCTGGCAGCCCAGAAAGCCAACCATATCCTGGGCTGCATCCAAAGCAGCGTGGCTGGCAAGTCAAGGGAGGGGATTCTGCCTCTGCAGTGCTGCGTTGAGCACATCGACATTAACAGGAGCAGAATTAGGTGAACCTCATGTGCTTTTGAAAAGCCCCTCTCCTGCCTTACAATCAGTGAAATCACATTATTTGTTCACTTTTTCTTTCTGATGTAGTCCTAGGAAAAGCTCACTCTGGTCCACTAGATATTTGGTCTGCAACAGTAAATATAAGAGAAGTTTTTAATTAAAAGAAAAAAATTCAAACAAGGTAGCAGTAATGGGTCAGGAATGTTTTCGCTAAAAACAAAAATTACAGTTAAATTACAGACATCTTAAACTTATTATTTCCATTTACAATTATAAAAATAAATAAGGAGAGAAAAATCTGAGAATCTGAGCCATTATTACTACAAGTCTAACTCACTGTTAATCTGAGGAACATACGCTGGGCTGCTTAGTGTGAAGGTTACGAGATGCAGGTTCTCAAGAACCACTGCACATACATCGTGGTATTTTCTGCCACTGCAGATCATAGAGCTGTTCTCCCTGGAATCGGTGTCCTTTCCTAATCCAGTAATCCGCTGAAATGGAAAGCTGTCTGTTCTCTCTTCCCCTAATGTGGATTAGAGCCTGTAACATTTTTAAAGGAATTTATCACAGCATGACAAATTTTAATTAAAGCTCCAGAAAACAAGTGTTGAGCATATTTCTCCAAAGAAAAAAAAATCCTCTAAGTCTTGAAATTCAACACTAGCTTTGAACAGCACAGCTATGAAATAGGATTAGTTTCTGTCTTCTCTGTAGACTGGATATTTAGCTTCAAGATTTGTTTTATTCAAAATTATGATTTGGGTGGAAACGCTGCTGTTCGCTTTCATTTCTGGTATGCAGAGATGACATCATTATGGACTGTTCTCTCATTTTTAGCCCTCCAGTTTAAAAGACGTTAGATGACATTTCCAAAAGCACCTAATGAACATGGAAAGATGATTCTCATTTTAAAAACTAAGTAGTGCGACCTTAAATTGTCTCTGAAAATTAAATCTCAGAACTTAAGTCAGGCAGGTACCAGTAGCAAAAAGCAGAGCACTTAAAAAAATGAGGGGTCTGGTGGGACTTCTCACCGGAGTGTGGGCACTTAATTCTGCTTAATTAAAATCAGTCAGGCCTCATGCTTATTCACACACCTAATGCCCAACTGCCTTTAAAAATCTGACACTTAGAAGACAATGCTTTTTTCTAAAACTGGCACAAAGCCCTAAATCGTTCAGGCACAGGACAGAAATTCCAGCTCGTACCTCGAAGCAAACTGTGCTGACTTCTATCAGCTCAGAACAAAGCTCTTCCCATACCACAGTCAGCAATACCTTTAAGAAAACTGAACTCCTATTTGTGAGTTAGTTTGCCAAAAGGCAAGAAGGAGAAGTGGAAGGACTTTACAGCACTTCAAACAGACTCTAGAACAAAAATAACGCTAAGAAAGAGAAAAATTCCCCTAACCTTAAACCCCCTTCTGGCATACAAAATTTGCCAATGAAAATGCCCAAAATATCTCAGGAAGGGAAATCTCCTCGCTGTCTACTCCAGGCACCAGCTGCTTCTTTCCCTCCAGTTGGGGTGATGTCTCAGCGACAACAGTCTCCAACCAGCCAGACAACAAAGGCAGCAAGAAGAAAAAGCCTGAGCTGTGCGGAGAGCAGAGCAGGATAACCCGTACGGGTCCTGCCGGGTGAGCCAGTGCGACTGCATGGCAGAGCACAGGGGAAGAGAGCATCTTGGCTGCTTTTTAAGGAGCTGGCTCGACAGAAAAAGCCAACGATCAAAATACCCATGAAAGGCTTGTTTCAGCCACTGCTCAAGTTACCTGGAGCTTCCTAAGCTTCTGCCAGCACTGGGATGGGTTACAGCCACCACCCTGCTTGCTTCTCTGCCTCTCTAGGTGACTCGGGCATCTTGCTAGCTCAGATATTAGCACCCAGGATCAGCACACAGGACAGACAGCAAGTGTTCATGCTCCTAATGACTGGCAGCTGCATGATTAAAGAAAGAAAAGGAGGGAAGAGGATAATTAACCACTCACGTACTATGTACTCTGTTCATTAACATCATCTATAAAACTGCAAAAAAAAAGCAGTCAGAACCAACTCTCCTCAAGCTAAAGAACATTATGTAAAGGGTTATTAAAGATCAGCTGAAAAATTCTTCCCAAGGTCAGTCTTTTTGCATGGACTACTTCCCCCCTCCACCAAAGAAACCCCTGGTGAACGCACAAGGTACATCCACCAGTTAAAGTTATTGAAGCAGATCAAGAAAGTAGAGAATAAGACTCAAAAGTCACTTGGAACTAAAATACCCAAAACCTGCTAGTGAGTTTGTTTACCCATGACAGACAAACCATTAGCTGGGATTCCTACAGAGTCTCCTTTTTTTGACTTACCAAAGGAGTCAAAAGCAAACCTGCTCTGAAAAGGAAATGCACCCCAGAATGAGGTAACAGGCAGATGTAGACTGGAGAAAGGCACTGAATGAACAATAGGTGGTGTTGATATGTACTTTTCCACAATTCAGACCACATCCTGCTGTTCTGCCTAAAGCAAAATTCTCATCGAAGACAAAAAGTTCTTGTTCAAGTGAAGAGTTTCAGAGGATGCTTTAGTTCATGCGTGCAGCAGAAGGGAGACGAGGAAGAAGCAGACGAAAAATGAAAGACAAGAAAACCCTGTGGTTTTCAAGTCAAGCAGCGTCTATGTCCAAGAACATAATGTGGAGCTGACAAGTCCTACAATGCACCAGAGAGAGGGGGTGAACCATGGTCAAGTTGTCCAGAAAGGTTTCAAAGATTTCCCCTGAGAAGGCAACAGCCCAGCAGACAGTTGTATGTGCGCTGCAGCAAACATGACTGCGGATGTGACTGCAGCGCGACTTCCAAAACGTCTCCAACTCATTTTGTGATGTGAATCCAATATGACCCTTTGATGAAAGCAATCTGTTCCACAGAGCCACGCAGGCAGCAAAGCAAATGCAGCTTCTGCAGGTTTCTTTAACTGGAATCACACTGAAGGAATGCGTAAGAACAAAAGAAAGGACTATGTCAGTTGGAGCAAAAAACCCCAGGGTTTCCTTGGTTTTGTCTTTTCCTGAAAAAGGCTTTGCTGAGAAAAGCTTTCATTAGGTTTAATGAACTTAAATGGGTTTCATTACCTTACTGAAAAATTGAAGTCATGTGAGCAGAATGATGGCAAAGGAGCCTGCAAAAAAACCCAACCCAACAGTGTTGGTATTGACTGCTGTGAGCAACATCCTCAGCAAGGTTTTTAGTGGGTTTCCACAACTTCTACCAGGTAATCAGAAGCCAAATGACAGTTACAGTTAACGAGCAAAACTATTTCCTAGAAGAGAGCGCTCATGATGGAATCTTCATCAATACCGATGATAAACAGGCCACAAGCTGCAACCAAACAGCCAAAGCTTTGTACAGGTTGAGAAATAAACTCAGATCCAAATTCCTCAGCTGGTCTCTCTTTATGATGAGTTTTAAGAAACTTCAAACTTTCCAAAAAGTTTCAATTTAAGCTTTGCAGTCAAACTCCCATGTTTCCTGAGTTCCATAGTGAAAGCAAACAACAACGAGTGATTTCTTTTTTTTTTTTTTCCCCTCCTCTGGAAAACATGAGTGAAAAATAACAGCCGTGACGAAAGCTGTTTATAAATAGGCCAGTCACAGAGGCAGAATAGCACAGCAAAATATTCTGCCTGAATGTGACGAGAATAATTCTTACAAATCAAGAACTCCAAACTTCACTGGCTTTTCAGCTGC